CGGATGACGGAAAGCGCGCGTAGCGTGCGATCCGTTAGTCAGAAGGAGTTAATTAGATGGAGTGTGGGGGGGGTGAGGGGGTGGCATCCCGGGCCCCAGGATCTAAGAGCTTTTTTCCGTGTTAATGGAGCCCTTAACATGGAACGGTGGGTGTTTGAGAGCCAATTTCCTTGTCAACGGAGCTTTTAACAGGGAAAATCGGGTGCTTAACAGGGAAAGTCCATTCCTTCGCCTTGTTAACGGAGCCCTTAACAGGGGAAATCCGGTGCTTAACATGGGAAAAACAGGGTTGCACGCTCGGGCACTTGTTTCCCTGTTAACGGAGCCCTTAACAGGGATTTAACAAGGGAAATCGGGTGACGGACGCGTTTTTCCTTGTTAACGGATTGCTAACAGGGAAAAGAGTTTCCTGTTAACGGACCGTTAGCGGACCTTGAACATCGCGGTTTCCAAGAGCGAGCGGTGACGTAAACAAGTTGATAAGACCAAGGTTCCCAACAGAGAGCGGTGACGTAACCAGTTCTTGGCACCAGGGCCCGAAACGGGCGGCAACGTAAGCTCCGCGTAAGCTCCGCGTAGGTTTCGCGTAAGCGCGTAAAGTCTTCGTCAACTTGAGGTACCTTCAAGACAGCCCATGAGAGACCAAGCGTCCTCCAAGACGGTCCAAGACGCCTCCAAGACGACCCCAGAGGCCAGAAGCCATTAAGATAGCCCCACGATGGCCCAAGATACCCCGAAGACGGCCCCAAGACGTGTTCGAACATTTGCACGTATGCAGTTGGCTTCAACGGCCTCTAAGACGGCGTAGAGAGGCCCAGACGGGCCCGAGGACGGCCCAGGAGCGATCCAGACAGCCCACGACGGCCTCAATACGGCTCAAGAGGTCTCCAAGACCCCCCCCCGGAGCACCGATGGGCGGTCTAAGCGGAAAAGATTAGCTTGGCGAGGACCCAACCATATATAGTTGCCAGCACCGCAATTATAGGCATCGCATTCGGTGGAGCTCCCTATGGGGCCACGAAGCGCTGCACTGGGCGGGGGAGACGCATGCGAAGTTTGCCACTGGGGCCTTCGGTGGAGCTCCCTATGGGGCCACGAAACGCTGCACTGGGTGAGGGAGACGCATGCAGATTTTGCCACTGGGGCCTTCGGTGGAGCTCCCTATGGGCCACGAGACGTTGTGCTGGGTGGCGTGGCCCCATATGGAGCTCCACCGAAGGCCCCAATGGGACAGCCCGCATGCGTCACGCACCACCAAGTATAGCGCTTCGTGGCCCCATAGGGAGCTCCACCGAAGGGCCCAGTGGGACCGCCCGCATGCGTCACGCACCACCCAGTACAGCGTTTCGTGGCCCATAGGGAGCTCCACAGACGGCCCCAGTGGGACCGCCCGCATGCGTCACGAACCACAAAGTGCAACGCTTCCGTGGCCCCATAGGGAGCTCCACCGACGGCCCCAGTGGGACCGCTCGCATGCGTGACCGCACCACCCGGTACAGCGTTGTGTGGCCCCATAGGGGGCCCCACCGAAGGTTCGAATGGGACCGCCCGCATGCGTCCCGCACACCCACTGCAGCGTTCCGTGGCCCCATAGGGAGCCCCACCGATTCGTGTCACCATAGCTCCACCGAAGGCCCCAGTGGCAAAGTCCACATGCGTTTCCCCCCCACCCAGCACAACGTTTCGCGGTCTGTAGGGAACTCCACCGACAGCCCCAGTGCCAAAATCCGCATGCGTTTCCCCCACCCGGCACAGTGTTTCATGGCCCATAGGGAGCTCCACCGAAGGCCCTAGTGGCAAAGTCCGCATGCGTCCCCCCCACCCAGCACAACGCTTCGTGGCCCATGGGGAGTTCCACCGAAGGCCCAAACGCTGTACTGGGTAGTGCGTTGCGCATGCGGGCGGTCGGATTGGGGCCTTCGCAGGAGCTCCCTATGGGGCCACGAGACGTGTGAGGGGTGTGCTGAAACGAGTGAAGATGATGATGATGATGATGATGATGATGATGATGATGATGATGATGATGATGATGATGATGATGATGATGATGATGATGATGATGATGATGATGATGATGATGAAACGCAGGGAGGAGGGAGGAGGGGGAGGAGGAGGAGAGGAGAGGAACGCGGGGCACCGTCTCTTCAAAACGAGGACCCAACACCACAGGATGGTTTGGAAAAACAAAAGTAGGGCGTTCGCCACCCGGGGGCGCCCTTGGCCCCGCCCTACTTGCATAAGCTCCTCGCCAGCTTAAGGCACCTCCAAGACGGCGTGAGAGAGGCCCAGACGGGACGCACCCGAGAGGACCCCAAGATATGCGGAAGGACGAATAACCAATGTTGCTTTTAGGTTTATGAAGATGTTCCAGCTCCTCGCCTTTTCGGGCAAGAGCGGCCCGATAAAGCTCCAGAGCCACCCGAGATAGTGCCGTGACGGCCCGAGAGGCTCCCAAGAGAGCTTGAGGACGGCCCAGAAGGGCCCCAAGAGGGCCTAAGAGAGCCACAAGACGGCCCAAGGAGAGCCTGGGAGACGCCGAAGATGCTCCCAAGAGACAGCATGTCGCCGTCATCATCATCAACAGTATGATTATAATCTTCATTCGTGTTGTATCGCGTTCTAGTGCCTTCCCAAGATACCAACACGCCCTGGTTCCCCCTCAAGAGGCCTCCTGCAGCTTCGAGATAGCCCTAGAGGGCGCCCAATATGCCACCAAGATGCCCCAAGAGAGCCTCCAGACGGGGAGACAGAGAAAGAACGGGCAAGCCAGCGACATCTCGCGCTCTGAAAGTAAATGCGCTTTCCGTCCCCGTGCCAAGCAGGTCTGATGGCGTTCGGCCCACCCCGCAGACGTGTTTGGGTTACGGGTCAGAGGCCTCTTGGATGTTCGTTGGGATGTCGTGGGAGCGTCTTGGGGGCCTCCTGGAGGTAAGTCGAAGGTTGGTGGGGGCCGTTTTGGGACCTCTTGGGACGTCTTGGGACTCTGGGGCAGACTCTGGGGGACCTCTTGGGGCCTCTTGATGGCCTCTTGAGGCCTCCTGGGGGCATCTTGGGGCGGAAGGCTCGAATTGCCGATTCGGGCTCCCGCTCTTGGAGCCGTCTTGAGGCTCTCTTGGGCCGTCTTGGGCGCCTCTTGGGCCGTCTTGGGGCCCTTGGGGACCTCTTGGGCCGTCTCCACCTTGGCTCTTCGTGGAGGCCTAATATGGCAGGCTATACTTCGGTTGCGAAGGCCTTAATGCCGGTGCCGCCGACCCTGAAGGGGAACGACGACAACGGACGCTGACGTGGGTCAGAGTCCTCATGGACGTTTCTCGGGGTCTCTTCTAAGCGCTTTCGGGTGCTAATGGAGGACAATGTAGGGGCTTCTTGGGAGCCTCCTAGGGCCTCTTGAGAGCTTTTTAGGGCCTCTCGGAGCTTCCTGGGAGCCTCTTGGGGGCCTCTTGGGGCCTCTTGGGAGCCTCTTGGTTCCTCCTGAGAGCCTCTCGGGGCCGAGTGCTCGAAATGTCCGTTCTGGTTCCTCGTCTGGGAACCCTCTTGGAGCCGTCTTGGGGGCCTCTTAGGTCGTCTTGGAGGCGTCTTGGGCCATCTTGGGGCCCTCTTGGGCCGTTTTGGGTCCCTCCTGGAGCCCTCTTGGGCCGTCTTGTGGCGATCTGGGGGGCCTCTTGGGCCGTTTTGGAGCGTCGGGAAGCGGAAGAGGCGAGAACGCCGAAATCCTTCAAAAACCAATTGAATGTTTCTTCCTGGGGCCCTCTAGGGATTTCTCCTGGAGGCCTCTTGAGGCTTATTGCAGGGCTCTTGGGCCGTCTGGAGGCCAGCAAGGCGTCTTGGACAGAACGTTGGCGATTCGGGCCTGTTTTGGACCGTCTTGGGGGCCTCTTGGGGCACTCTTGGCCCGTCTTGAGGTTTTTTTCTGGGCTCCAGGACCCCGCGGGGGGGAGGCGTATCTGGGCCGGGACCCCCTGGGAACATTCCCCCCCCAGCGGGAGAGGGATCAAAGGGAAGGGTTTTCCCTTCGAGTCAATTTCGACGTTGCTCAATTTCGCTTTGGCTGGCGCGATTGAGGAGGAGGGCCTAGGGAAGGGGGGGAGCGGCGACGGGCCCAGCGCTTGAGGAGGAGTGCCCAGAGAAAGGGGGGGAGCGGCAACGGGCCCAGGGAAAGGGGGTGGCGCAGGGAAAGGGGGCGACAGAGACGACGACTGACAAATAATGGAGACGACCACTCGAACGGAGAGGCCCCTCACACCCGCCGACAGGGTCGGCGGGTTGAGGCTGAGGGTCATCGTGGGCCAGCTTGGAGGCCTCGTGGGCCATCTTGGGGGTCAGGCAGCCCGAAGAGACGCCAATGCTAAACCTTTTGTTGTTCCGATGACACACCACTGATGTTGACTTCGTCGGGCCCTCCTAGGGGTCCTAGTGGAGGCCTCTTGGAGCCGCTTGGCTCAGCTTGTGGCCATCGTGGCCGCTATGGAGGCCATCTAAGCCCTGTCGTGGAGGCCCTACAGGGCTACGGGGATGGGGGAGGAGAGCGGATGACTTGCGGGGGTCACGATTGCTTCGCGAGAAGCGAAGGCTCCAGGAAAATGAAGGGCCCGTACTACCAACTGCTGCAAGCGCAATGCCAGAGTTTGCATAAACCTGCTCAGCACAAACAGCATATAGACTTGGACATTGATTTGTGCACAGACAAGGACGTCGGCATCGGCATAGCCGCAGAGTGACAGAAACACATGCAGAGACACAGATGGAGATAGGGATGCGGATAATAGAGAGTGCGAGGGACAGGGGTAGAGGTGCAGACGCAAATGCAGATTACAGATAATGCAGATGCCAATGACGGCATTGAAAAGTAAGTGGTTGAGTTGTGTTTCTCCAGGTTGAGTCGTCTGCCGTCTCCTGTCCGCTGGCCGATGATATGTTCACGGACGCACATCACGGCAGCATTGTTTTTGACATGTGAGATGTGTTGTGCCATCGTCACCACAGTTTTTTCACGCCGGCAGGTGTGCCGTCCGGTGGACCAGCGACGACGTGGATTCGGATGCCTACGAGCGTGGCGACACACCGGCCTGCGATGGTTTGGACTTCCTTTTCTTGTTGTAGTATGACCAAGTCCTTGTTGCAGAGTGATTAATGTGATGTGCGAATATCATGGAGGGTCGGCACGAAGGAAATGAGGAGGACGAGCAGGAGGAGGAGGAGGAGGAGGAGGAGGAGGGAACAGGGAGGAGGGAGGATCAGATCGGATCGACTCGGCAGGAAGGAGCGTCGAGAACCACAGTACCTTCTGGGCCTTCCAGGAGAAAGGGCTCCCTTGAGGGCGCGAAGTTTTTCTCGCTTCGCGGTTCGGCTCCCACTGCTCCTCATCTGCCTCTCCTCCCATGGGAGGCGGCGCGAGAGCGCGAAGTTATTGGAGGAGGAGGAGGAAGAGGAGAAGGAGGAGGAGGAGGAGGAGGACGGATACGATCGGACCGAGGTCTAAGATCGAGGTCAGTTCGGGGAGGGTACCCTGATTTTGTTCGCGTGTGTGTGTGTGTGGGACGGGTGTTGTTGTGCATCCTGCGGAGGGTACCCTTGGATGCTCTGTGTGTTTTGGCAGGCGGAGGGTCTCATGTTCTTGAAGGATGTTCTTCTGTTCTGGGTCCGACTGTAGGACGAACAGCAGGAGGGAGCACCGCACCGACTGACAGAGTCGTCCCACGAAGACCTGCACCAGAGCAGACACAGACGATTTGATCCTCGTCCCAGAGATCGGCCCCCTCGCAGGGAGGAGGCAGTCCGACGAAGAGGAGTCCGTTCCAGAGCGTTCGGGAACGCTCTCAGAGCGTTCTGGAACGCTCTGAGAAGGCCGCGGCGCTCAAGACATCCTCCAGAGCCGCCGGATCTCAGAGATTCTCGAGTTGCCCGCACGCGGCTCGATCCTCGTCCAGGGCCCCGTTCCCAGGCAGGGGGGGAGCAGGGAGGGGGGATGGGGGGGGGGGCCAGGGACGGGAGGAGGGGGAGAGGAGGGAGAGCGGGCGCGAGCGGGGGGGGGGGGGGCAAGCCAGGAGGGCAGGAGCGAGGAGCGAGGGGGCAGGAGCGAGGAGCGGCAGCGGGGGCGCGCGCGCAGGCCTCGCGCCGCGCTCCTCCCGGCCGGCGCCGCGGCGCGCAGGATTGGGGCCTCGCGCTCACGCGGACCACGCTGTGGTCCCTGGAGCAGCTCGCCGTCGAGGGGAGCCCCGCCCGCGCCTGGCGGAACCCTCTCGGGGAGGGGGGGGGGGGGCCTTCTTCGAGAGCCTCCGAGGGGGGCCCTCGAGGGCCTCCCCCCCCCCCCCCGAGGGGCCCTCTCGAGGGCCTTTCGAGGGGTCGGGGCGTCGGGGGATCGAGGCCCCCTGGACCGGAGAGGGGAGCTCAAGACGCGACTATCGGCCACCGACCGCCCAGGCGGATGGGCGTTAATGTGTCGTTGTTTTTTGTTCCATCCTTACCGTTCCCTTCCCCTCCCCCTTTCCCACCCCGCCCTCTCGCAGGCCCCATCCATCCATCCCTCACCCATTACCTTCCTGCTCGCTCGCTTCCTCCTCGCATCCCCTCGGTCCATCCATCCATCCATCCCTGCCCTTCGCCCCTCCTCTCCCTGCCCTCCATCCATCCACTCACGCTTGCCTCCCTCTCCCTCCCTCCTTCCATCTCTCGTGCATCTCTTTCCTCCCCCTCCCCTCTTCCCCGCCTGCCCCCCAAAAACCTTGTCCCTCGCTCCCCTCCCCTCGCTCCCTCTCTCCCCCCTCCACACCCACTCCCTCCCCCTCCCTCCGCCCTCTACCCTCCCCCCTCCCTCCCTCCACTCCCTCGTTCCCCTCCCCCCTCCCTCCGCCCTCTACCCTTCTCCACGCCCACTTCCCTGCGCCTCCCCGGCGGCAAGGAGCAACTGCCTCCCCGACGGCCAGGACCACGTGCCGCGCCCGCCACCGCCACCCACCCCCCTGCAGGAAGGGGGGGGGGGGGGGGCGAGGCACGGTGGGGGAGGGCACAGAGGCGAAGAGGGGGAGGGGAGGGGCGAAGAGGAGAGCAGGAGCAGTACGAGGAGGAGGAGGGGGAAGAGGAGGAGGAGGAGGAGGAGCAGGAGTAGGAAGGACGGGGGGGGAGGCAGCGTGTGAACGACACCCATACCACCATCCCTGAGTCCTGAGAAGGAGGAAGGAGGAGGAGGAGGAGGAGGAGGAGGAGGAGGAGGAGGAGGAGGAGAAGGAGAAGGAGAGAGGAGAGAGGAGGAGGAGGAGGAGGAGGAGGAGGAGGAGAAAAAGGAGGAGGAGGAGGAGGAGGAGGAGGAGGAAAGAGGGGGAGGAGGACAACGAGGACGACGAATAATGAGTGGGAGAAGAGCGCAGCAGGAGGGTGGAAGTGGATGAGGAGGAGGAGGAGGAGGAGGAGGAGGTGGAGGCAGAGGCGGAGGGGGAGGCGGCCGACGACGACGACGACGACGACGACGACGACGACGACGGCGACGAGGCTTTCCTCCCCACGGGCGAGGCGAGAGCCGACCCCCCCCTGGCGCGGCCGGGCGAGGGCGGGGCCGCGCCAGCGGCATGCGGCCGCGGCCAGCGCGCACCAGGCCAGCAGCCGAGGAAGCCGCGGCCCTCGGAGGGGAGGGGGGGCCCGTCGGGGGCGTGAGCCCTCTTCGGGTGCCCAGCCACGATCACGCGTCGTGAAAGAAATCGCGACGGGAGGTTTCTGGCCATTTCGGCCGCCAGGGGCCCTCGCTGGGCCTCGGGATCGTCAAGAAACGATTCCCGGGACGCGTTAAGCAGCAGATCGCCGACTACCTCGAGGAATGCCAACCAGCAGACGAGACCAAGGACTAGACCATCGACGTTGAAGCACTCATGGATCAGGTGTCCTTCATTCGAATAGAGAAGACCCACGACCCGAACGTCGCCAAGCTGGTCATGGGGAGCGCACGACTGGCCAGCCCGCAAGTTCGTCATCGACGGGCTCCGCGCCGAGGGCAAGGCTCGCCACCACGTGGGCGCCGCCCCAGCGGGCTGGATGGAAGAAGAGATATCAATCTGGAACACTTCAAGAATACCGGCGCGTAGTATTTACATCCGGAGAAACACTTCCAGGCTCGAGCCACCCGACATCAGCACCGGCGCCAGCACCACTTGCGCCAGATGCAGACCACACGGCCTCAGCAGAGGATATGGCGCGCAATCCTCTTGAGCATGCTTCGGAGGATGAGTTCGCCACTGATGGTGAGGCCGCCCAGTTCTTTTTCATCACCGCACTAAGCTGAGGCAAGTCCGCCCCCCCGAGCTCGAATAGCAACAGTAGTTAGTCTCCACTCGCCCCTTCTCCTCGCCTGCCTCACAGCGACTTTCCCGACTACACCTCTTCCTCCAGCTAAATTTCGTGGCAGGCCTTTTTGACGAGCTCGCTTGGCGCCCTTCCATCGGGCAAATGTCTCAATATGAGCCGCTCTTGTTCATCCCCAGGAGCCGACAGCTTGTTTGTAAAGGCTGAGAAAGGGGGGATTATATGCTGGCCGCCGGCCCCCTCCTAAAAGGACCGCCCCAGAGGAAGGTTTAGGGTATTCCGCTGTTCCGCTTTGACTGCCCGCTATGGCGAGCAACACCGCTGCAGCGCACAGCCGCAGAAGGCGCGAAGCAGCACCCCGTCGACCGCGGGAGGGCCGCTGCAGCGACGAGCACCACTGTATGACCATTGTCTAGGCTTTCCCGACATGTCGGCCGGGGCTTTCAGCGTCGGTCGGGGTGGCGGGGACGCCCAGCGTGGTCTAGTCCATCGCAGCCTACTTGGAACGTTGAGAGGTTTTTTTCGCTCCCGTGTCGTCCTAAGCCAGTCTTGAGGAGAGGGGTCGGGAATTCCGGGGACCGCCCAGTGGTCGGCGGCGCGGCGGCGTTGCGACGGCTCTCGGCGGCGGCGCGGCGGCGGCGATGTGCCCCGAGCTCGAGGGCGTGTCAAGGGAAACGAGGAGGACGGATTGATGAATGAGAATGAGGTAGATGCGGGGAGGGTGCTCGAATGCACTTCGTGTGTTCACAGAGTGTCCCAGTGCATCCTGGGGGAGGGTACCCTCGAAGGTTTTTCGGCTTGGCCGACGGAGGTTTTCCCGCGTTCGAAAAAGGCTTTTCTGCCCTGGGTCCGGCCGCAGGGGCCACCACCAGGAAGGCTACCGCAGAGGGGCGGCACCACCACCAGGAAGGCCACCAGGATGCCGCGGACGCGCGGTCGCACGGATGCGTCTCGCGCGGGGCATCCGCGCGCAAAAAGCGCCCCGCATCGGCGGGGTTGCGGCGCCAGGGGCCCGTCGGGCAGGGCCAGAAAAAACAAAAAACAAAAAAAAAAAAACCTTTTCCAGGGAATTCTGGAACGTTCTCAGGGGGCCCCACAAAGTTCTGAGCAGGCCGCAGCGCCCGGGGCATCATCCACCAGAGCCGCCGGATCTCAGCGATCTCAGATTTATCCGTGTCCGATGGCATCCTCGTTTTGGCTTCGTCCTCGCCCAGCCCGCGAGGCCGCGCGGATACGGCGATGTGATTTGCCCAAGGTTTCTGCCAGGAACCGAGCCCCTGCACGGAGACGCAGCCGGGAGAGGGGCGGCAACACCACCAGGAGGGCCACCCCTGGCACAGAGGTCCACGGTGTCTCCTTGGTGCGATCGACATGGTACAGAAAGAACGGGCACAAAGACTGACAGCAGCTCTTGCTCTACGGAGCAGGTTTCGCTGTCGGCGTCGCTGTGGACGTTGGCCATTTGAGACAGACGGCCGCCTACCCAGCAGCGGCCGCTGTCGGCTTGGGCAACATTTATTGTTGGGCATCGTGCCCGTTTCTGCCGTGCCCATGTCGGGCGTCCAGAACGGTATCTCCCACCGGGAGGGTTTTCTCCCTGGCTCCCCGAGACGGACGGGTCGGAATTCGGTGCGCACGAGGTTCCGCGGAGGGTGAGCGCGGTGACCGCGTGCCCCGAATAATGAAGCGTAGCCCCCATTCTCATCAGTGA